GGATAAGGGAGAGGGAAAGAGAAAGAGAGAGAAAGGGAGGGAGGGAGAGGAGGAGGAAGGAAGAATTGGTCAGGACTATTTTAGTTGCAAGTCAAAATCCATACCCAAACTGACGAAAAAAGCCAAAAGAATTTATTGTTTCCTGTAACTGAAAAGTCTAAGGTGTGTTGACTTCAAGCATAACTGGATGTAGAGGCTCAAACAAAGTAATCTCGCCCCTTGAAACTAAGCTTTCCTGTGGGAGCTTCACTCTCAGGCAGCCATTTCCCACGGGCATAAAATGACCTTAGCAATCCCTGGCTTATATTTTGTCAGAAACTCCAGAGAAAAACAAGAAAGCCACTTGGCCAATAACTCTAGCAGAAACTTCGGGGCTACCTCTCATTGGACAGACTGGGATCACATGTCATCTAGGGACCGATCACTGTGGCCAGAAAGGATGGAATGTGCCTACTGGCCAGGCCTGGGTCATGTGGTGCTGGAGGTAGAGCCAGCCACCTCATGGACAAAGGGTGGAAGAGAGGGGAGACAATTGGTTCTATTAAGGTTTATTAAGCACCTACTGTGTGCCTGGCCATGGTCTGGGTGCTGGGGATACAGTAGTGAACAATACAGAAAAACCCCTGCTTTTGTGGGGCTCACACTCTAGGTGAAGATGTGAATTACAGGGATATTAGAAGGTGTCATGTGCTATACAGAAAATTAAAGCAGGGGGGAAGGACAGGGTTGGATGGGGGAAGGGAGCTGAGATTTGAAATAGGAGGTGGTATCTGAGCCAAGACTTGAAACCGAAGGAATGACAATATCTGGGAAAGGGCATTCTAGGCAGAGGGCACAGTCAGTGCAAAGGCTCTGAGGCCCAACTGTGGCTGGTGTATTTGGGGACCAGTGAGGAGGTCTGTGTGGCTGGAGGGAGTGAATGAGGGGGGGAGTGGGAGGTGAGGCATGCGGGTGACGGGGTAAATCATGCGGGGCCTTATGGGCTTTAGGGAAGACTTTGGATTTTATCCTGGGTAAGATGGGAGTCACAGAAGGTTCTGAGCAGAGAGATGGGATCTGACCTGATTCAGGTGTTCACAGGAAGAACAGGTGGTCAGGCTGATGGTCAGACTGACAAAGTGTATACACAGAGAGATATTTATGTAGAAACAACTGGATTTGGCCTCAGAGCGAGCTGTCCTTAACCCCAGGCTGGGTCTCTAGTCCCTATGGTCTCCACGTCTGTGATTTGGTTTGTTGTCTTTTCCCATCATTCATGGGGAGAGAAATGGGTGGGGTGAGGGGCTGGGAGGACAGGGCATCTGGGGTTGCCCCCTCCCCCAGGAGACAAGGAGCCCCCAGCTCTACTCCAATCCAGGACACACTTGGGCCGGGCTGCTGAGGATGTTTGCTCTCTGTGCTCTCTAAGTGGGTGGAACAGGAGTGGCTGGGGCACAGGGAGGCCTGGTCTAGCTTGG